GTGTGCGTGTGCGTGCGTGTGTGTGTGTGTGCGCGTGCGTGTGTGTGCGTGTGTGTGAGGGTGTGTAGGTTTTAGTCGTGTGGGGATGCCCCCTTACGGGGGCGTACGTGTCTTTTGGTGTATTAGTCTGTCTGGTATATTGTTTGTCGGGGGTCGCAATTTTAAAGAAATGTATTCAAAAATAATGCAAATAACTGATAAATAAAGTAAAAACTTACCTGGGCATAACCCCGGCACAGATACCTGTAACAAAGATGCCGACGGCCTCTATGTTTAAGCCGGGGATTAGGTCGGTGGTTAAGAGGAAAGAAAACGATACTTTCCAGGTAGCCTTAATAAAGGTAGGTAGATCTTGCTCGTTGCAATGCACTTCACTTATCAAAAACACTTCCGCTCAGTTCGACCGTTCGCACGAGATTCGAGAATGATCGCGCACTTATGTGGATCAGTGATCTTGGAACCATAGATAAAAGATTTATATCTTGGAACAAGGAGACTAGTCTCCATGATTGACATTGACAACTTAAAATTTGAATTTGTGATATCAGTAATCAGTATACTAATTGTCATTTGTCGTGGTCAAATCTATTGTATTTGTATTTGTACTAAGTAGAATATTTGAAATGGAAATCATAAATGTATAACGTTTTATATTCTGTGCCAGTGTTATCATTTAAAATTTTCAGTAGTCCTACTCAAGTATCAGTGATTTTGTTGTGTATTTTGTTCATATCAAAAGTGTATTTTTTCCTCCCTAAAAATATGCAGTTATGAACTAATGACTTCTATCAGAACTGAATGTGTATGAATAACATGGAACTAGATCCTACAATTTTTTTTAAGGACTTAATTACATTCACAAAGGACCTTAAAAGGGGCCCTAACGAATGTTTGCGTTTATTGGAAACCTTAAATCGCAATTTAATTGAAGAACAAATAAATTCATCTTATATTGGTACCAAATAATTTACATATTTTTTATGATGCACAACTTCAATGTTTTATTTTCTAGATTTATTTTTAATTCATTTATTTGAGAAGAACAATGGTTTAATACATTTCCTTGATATTGGTATTAAAATTAAAGATTTAAAAAATGCTGTAACAAAAGCAGTGGAAATACTTTATACGCTTGTTAACAATTTTCCATACAGATTAGTTGAAAGTAATATTTTAGATATATACAGTTTCTGCAACACTGTAATAAAATTACATACCTTTTCCGAAGTAAAAGTGAAAACACTGGATTTACTATTTATCAGTATTGATAAACTTGATATATGTTTTGATACTAATGATATATCTTCAACATATAAGGAATTACTTAACTCTCTCCAAAATGCGTTAAAACAGAAGCATTGTGATACGGGTAAGTTTATATTTGAAAAACGATGTACTCTGATTATTCGTGATGTATGGGACCGAGCGCGGCACGAATAATTGTAAAACATGGACAATTAAAACATTTATTTTTTACATAAGAAACAGAGCAATACATTAGTAAACATGCACAAAATTATTGAAAATGCAATTTAGGTACATTTATTTTAGATAGGTACCTAGCTATACTTTTTAAACAATCATTTTAGTCCGTGTTTAACTTTTTTTGTTTTTCTTTATTTTCTGAGGTATTTTACATAAATTTAAAATGTCAACTTACTTAAAATGGGCGAACAGAAATATTTGCAACTTCTTCAGATTAGAAGCCTTAGCCACAACGCGTGGTGTTATATGGTCTTTACAGAACAAAAACAAAATAACGCGTCACCACAAATTCCTAGATACGCCATAGATAATCTCTACCCTGGGCAATCCACATACGGATAATCGGGGTTCTACTGTAACTATTTCATGTGCAAAGCAAACGAGAAAGTAAATATGAGACCATACGTGATCTAGAATAAGATGGATGTGCAGGTAGCTAATACTTTACGTACTTGAAGTGCAATTTAGTTGAGTACTACCCAGCTCTAGACAGCAAGTAATGAAATGGGCATTGTTCACTACTCCTCCACTTTGCCACTGCTCATCCTACTCTCAAGGCTCAAATGAATTTTGTGTAGCTTAATATTAGTCATATTAAAAAAAAATCTTAGGACTCTTAAAATGTTTCATCTTGATGGTAAAAAAGTGTGGATTCATTTATTATTTTCACATTTTTATTAGTTTTTTATTAGTAGGGAAAGCAATTCAGGGCCGGAAGAAGGGTGAAACAGTGAAGCAGATGTTTCAGGCGGCATTTTTTGACTGGATTATTAACTTTTTATAAATTTCTGAAATTGAAAATTGCACAAAAATGTGAAAAAAACATTTTTTGACCCCAAATGCGTGCTTTGTGTTTTGTTAATTATTTACAAATCAAAGAGTTGAGCGAAAATTTCCCTAACATCGTAGTATCTTTAAGGATTTTGTTAGCCATTCCTGTGTCTGTGGCAGGAACGGTTAACAGACTTAGCCAATCTTGCTATCGAGAAAGATATAACAAATAATTTGGTTTACGTTGATATTATTGAAGACTTTGTTAATGAAAAATGTAGAAAAGTTGATATGTGATATGTGGAAAGATCCCGTTTTTACATTATTTTGTTTCTTTTTTGTTTTTATTGAATATTTTTTATTTTTGGTTTTATTGGAATATCTGTTTTATTTTTTATAAGATCTTCCTCATAATTTCTGTTTGTTTTTTAGCTAAAATATTTTTTAATTTATTTTTGTCTATTGAAATGGTTTTTATTATTTTTTATAACTTTTTTTATTAATAAATTTGTTGTTCCAACGGGAGGCAAGCAGATATTTGTTTCAGGTGCCAAATACCTCAGCGCCAGCTCTGAATTGCACCATATTTATAGTGCAATTTAAATATTACTTTTAGGTATACTAAACTAAAATAATGTCAGGATTACAACTGATGTAATGTGCATTTGACCATATATGCATATGATGTAAAAACAAGTATGTGTGCAATGATTAAATATCAGTCATCCCGAAAACCAAAGTCAATTTAATAAAGCTTTCCTTATTCCCTTTCTCTGTAAGTGTATAATAATAATTTTTTTTAATCAAAATTTATAACTCGTGAAACTTTATCATCCTGTTTTATAATAAAATATTTTAAATTTACGCATTTCTAACTAACTGCAAATTATTCTGTGTGATTTGAGTACAATCATCTCAACTATCAGAAAAAATAGTGCATTATTTATTTATGTATAAAAAAATTTAAAAAAATATTAGTAGTCGATGGGTTCTTATTGAGAATATAATAGGCAGTCAATAAAAATATTCGTATTTCGTTTATCATTTTTGGTAAGATGTACTTAATTATTTGTTTCAAACTAAAATCTATATTAAACTTAGTATCATTAGATATACAGGACAAGAGGGTCCGTCTATTTGTTGACATTGCCTACAGTTTTAGGAGAAATTAGGCCATCCATGGATAGGAGGCAGTAACGCCCTCAGATCTAAAAAAAATGTGACTCAAAAAGTATTATATGGTAATGAAAGTAATAAATGTATCAGATACTAATTAATTGCTTAATTTGTCAGAGCTGAGGTAGTTAATCACAATGTCCTCTCAAGGCCTACAAACATAAAAATTTGTAGACCAGTCCTCACTTTAACTTATCTGATAATGTAGCTTATAAAACTATTTTATTAGTATTAATGTTGGTATCAAATTTTCTATTAGTTTTTTATTCTAAATGTAGGTATATTGTGTCTACTTTGTTATTATAAATCAACATATTTTAAATTTTTTTTGTATATATTTTTTATCATCTTTTAAATACCTACTAATCCTACTATGTGCTATTTATTAAAAATAGTATTTTAAATAGTGTAAATGAGGCTAAAGTGTCTTAATAATGTATAAATATTTTAGTTTGTTGCTGATGAGGTAATAAAATGTGACATGAGATCAAAGACTACTATTTCCTTGGTTTCCTTACTCTCCTAGCAGCCAACATAAATGTTGTTATTTCAATTTTTAAAATGTATACATTGTGGTACGCTTTACATAATACCTTTTGTATTTTAAATGACTAGTCAATTTTCAACATAATTTTTCTCTTAGAAGTTTCCAGCTAAAACGGTTGATGAATTATTTTTGTATGGGGTCTTTCAAATACTGCATTTTTAAAATTATACTTACTAAAGCAAACATGCTGTACGATCTATCAAAATAAAGTTGTGGTATTAGTAAATACTTAACAATCCAGTTAAACTAAACACTTTTTTCCTTAAAAATGTCTAATACGATTTTCTAATTTTTTGTCAAAGTTGTTTGGACACAGTAGACTATGAAAGTAGGGTAGAAACAAAAAATTACATATAGTGATTTCAATGTTTATGGGTGAAGATCTAATCATGTTGAAGAAAAAGAAATGTTCAAAGTGGAACACTATATGTATAACTAAATTATTTTTTTTCCAATTTGTAGTGAAAGATAAAGAATTGGTGGTTCTGGGTTATTTTGCAAAGCGATATCAGTACCTCATTAAGCAACATAAAGATTTACAACTACTGTTTGTAAGAAACCTTGACCCAGAATTATTTAAGCCTAAGAAGTCGCAACATATTATTTGTGGATTTTTCACTGGTTTCTCTTATTTTTGTGAAAGTTTCCCATTGGATCCAACAAAAAATGAAGATAAAAAGCTAATTGAGAAGTTGTATAAACTTATTTATAACTCCGTTACACCAACAGACAGAATGAAAATTGGTAATAGAGGTAAGATCATAATTTTAAATAATCCCAATAGATGAACACATTAATAGTTTGTATACAATACAGTCTAAAATTATTAGACACGGTTACAGTTACATTATGTAAGTTCTTTTAAAAATACCTGTAATATGTAATGTGTAACGTTTATCATGTTTATCATGTGTCTCTATAGTGTAGCAAAATTCAATAACTACTGATATTATGAATATTATACATAAAAAAAATTTTATTTAGAAAAAAATGATGGCCTTAAGATTCATATTCTATATTTTCAAGCTAATCAAACTTATGATTCTATCCTTAAAAAATTATAGAGGTGAATGTGAATACCGAAGATAGGGACATCCTAAGAAAGCAAAATAGTTGTTGACATTTACTATTTAAATTGATTATTTTGGAGTTATCAAAGTGACAATAAAACTGTCTTGTTTCTGTTGAAATCGTTTTTGGAATTTTCGAGCTTAAGTTTCCATTAACGTTATATTGGTGTCAGAAGTGGGACATCCCAAGGAGAAATATGATTAGAGAGTGATTAAATGCCTGTTGTGAGGTCAAGATCTTCAGAAATGGATGAAATGTTAAAATAGTTAATGAAAATGATGGAGAACATGAAGAACAACCAGGGTGAAATGAAGGAAGATTTGAAAAAGGAAATGACAAACAGGGTGAAATGAAGAACAATTTGCAAGAAATGAGGAATAGCCAAGAAGTATTAATAAATGAAATGAAAAGTAATTTACAAGATATTAGGAATAGTCAAGAATAGTTAAGAAATGAAACGAAGAACAGTTTTTATAAATAAACTCAAAGACTTCAAAGAAACTATTGAAGAAAAAATGATTCAATTGAAAAGTAAGGTGCAGAGTCGTGGAAGAATGACTAATACCTAACCTAATAATTCAAGGTAATTACCAAGGCAAATAACTGGTCTGAGAAAGAGAAGGCAGCATCTCTGTAGCTGTACGGACGCTGGAAATCAAAGCTGCATCTCAAGCATCTAGAGTACAAGGCAGAGTAAGACAAGTTTGATTCCAGGCAGAACTGAGAAAAGAGAAAAGAATATATTGTTGATGTGCTTGAATGATGTATTAAAAAAGAACTGTACTGCAATACCTATTAAGTTGTTTTAAGTTATCTAATAATGTATGAAAGATCAAAAGTGAACTTATCTACTTTTGTTGTAGCTGCCTTAACATTTCTTGCAAATTATATTGGTTTATATGGAGAATCTTTATTAAAAGACTACAAATTTTGGCATACAAAACTTTTGAAATGGTTAGAAATGGGCATAGATGAGAAAAAAGTTGGTGTTGTTGTATTAAAAGCTTTCTTCCAAGAAATTTCTGTACTTATATGTAATAAATCTGAAGGAGACTGGAGTGCTATTGTAAAGGTAATTGTTGGTAAAATTTTAACGATTTATTAAAAATAATTTAGTTCTAAGAAAAAAAAATTGATAGGTATCCTAAAACGCCAAAGTATAATTTATCAAGAAAATCAAATTTAGAACTACAAAAGTATGACATTTTTCCAATTCTTTTTTCTTGGTATTTCCTCATTTAATACTCTGCTATGTTAAGTTTAGGAATTATTTATTTGATTACAAAAGTACATTAGATGAATAATGCCCATGCATTATGCTTAAGCCAAGGGCCCACCAGTTATGCTGGGCTCTTGTGTGTAGAGCTTTAGTTAGTATCCAAAAATCAGTGTCCATTTCCAAATTATAATGCAGAGAACGGTGCATAAGAAATGAAGAAAGCTGTTTTTATGGTTGTTAGATGAATAAGTAAACACCTGTAACGATGCCACGATGTTTAGTTTTTATCATTGGAGTAGCACAAGCAGATTCCGTTCTTCAGATACTTGGCAAAGATATCCATTTCTTTTTTTCTCATTATAAGGAGCCATCATATATTTAATGACAAAGTATCACATTAATAAGTTTAGTGTTATAATTTTTTTAAATATATTACGTATGGAAAATTTGTGCACCACTACGTTTAAAATTAGAATTAAAAATATATAATCATTAAAAAAAAAATTTTTAAATTATCAGTTTATTTTATTAATTTTCCTTTGCAGTACTTTAATCAATGGTCTTTGGATGTATTAAAGAAAGACAATGTTTCCAATTATGAAAAGCATTTGTCAATACAATGTCTGAAATTCTTCTCAAGAGCTTCTTATAAGTATTTACCACAGAATGATGTGACACATTTATTTGTGGTAATAATGCAAAATTTCGAAAATAATTACATTTTGAATTATGATCCAAAAAATCAGGAATGGGAGTACTTACCTGATTATGTTCAAACAGTGGCAAACTTTATGCAATTTAAAACTTTCAAAGCAAGTGAATTCTATTGCCTTCAGAGAGCGGTAATTAATATGATCAAATCATTTCATCAACTTCCTTATTTACATTATCATTTAGTTATTGATGGAATAATTATAACATGTTTTTATTTAAAGAAGTCTCAGTATTTTGATCCATTTTTGGAAAATATGGTTTATCAAGGTAAGTTATTTAAACAAATTCCTTTATATTTGAAGCTTTAATTCTAAGATACAGGGTGTTAAATTTTTTTGTAAAAGAAGTACATATTTCTAAATATTTTCTCTACAATACTTTAAATATACTTACTGCAATATAGTAAATGGTTCCTGTTAACATGAGTCTGTTCTTATTTCATTTATTAGATTTTTTGTATTAAAACGTTAAAGGAAGTAGCACGTGTACAAGCTAATATAATTAAGAAAAAATATGTACACCACTGATTTTGCTTTTTATAGCGCATAATGTAAACAGTTAATCCTGGAACCTGTAATTAAATTGTCTCCATGTTTTTTCCAGTTTTACTTTCATTATAAAGATAAATACAATTACAATAGGGTGACTAATATAGTTTTTTTTTTAAATTTAAGGACACTTTAATTTGAAAATTATTTGTTATTTAAATTTATCTGAACATAAAGACGGAAAATGGTGAAAATTTACTGAAATTTAATTTAAATTACTAAATTTGTTTTGAGAAACAACCGAAAAAATAAATAAAAACTGAACACCTTGTATCTCCAAACTGAAGTAAGAAAAAATTAGTGAAAATTTGTCACATTTTTTATTATCGCATCTCCACAGTGACTTGTTTTTGAAGCAGCTTAAATATACAAGGTGAGTCGGGAAATAGCACCAAACTATAGGAATAGATTTTACATGTCAAAATAATAAGAAAAACTCAAATGTTATACGTTATACGATTTTCATTTGTTTTCAACTGCAAGAACATAATTACAAATTTTAAAAATTTGAAATCAGAGTATATCATGTTCTAAGTTCAAAAGTAGGATATTAGCTAGTGTCGTTTTATGTTGTAATAGTTTAACATTTGATAACACATTTGTACAATCAGTGTTACAAAATACTAAGAACTTATTCAAATTTAGAGTAGTACTAATGCTGCTGATGAAGAATATCTTCAACGGTTTCCACATCACAGATGTCCTGATAAAACTGTATTTATCAGTTTTCAGCAAACTGTGTGAAACTGGAAAGTTCCCAGTGCTAATATAACTTCTGAATGAGCTCATTGTCAAGGTTAAGAAGAAGTAGAAAATATTCTCGGTCTAGTAGAGATGATGCAACTACCAGTTCACGAAGAATTGCTACTCAATTGGACACTCCACAAAAGAGTGACAAAAACCATCCACGAGCAAGGCTTACATCCGTACTATGTACAGAAAGTACATCACCTACAACCAAAAAATTATGCTAAATATATTGAATTTTTTTGACAAATCAATAACAATAATCTTGTTGTATTCCGCATACTTTTTACGGATGAAGCAATATTCACCCGTGATGGCATAAGTAATACTCGGAATTCTCATGTATGGTCAGATGAAACTCCTCACGTAACACTTGAACGTAATTAATAACATAACTTTATTGGCTTATTCTTTTCTTGGAATTCTATCTAAACAAATATCATATGGACTATATTTAATTGGCCCTTTCATTTTGGAGAATCGACTCACAAGAGACCACTACTTAAATTTTTTACGAAATGAATTACAAGTGCTACTAGAGGATGTTCCTATGAACATGAGAATGCGAATGTACTACCGACACGATGGAGCTTCTGCACATTTCCCTCGTAGGGTCAAGCTACATTAGAACGAGAGAGGTATTGGCCGCAGTGATCCTATTAGTTGACCTCCAAGATCTCCCGACTTTACAGCACTAGATTACTGGTTTAAAAATGAAGTGTATAAAGTTAGAGTGGACACTCGGGAGGCACTAATTCGACGGATCATCAATACTGTAGCACTTATTAAAGAAAGACATGCGACAATCAAGAGAGCTACAAACACCATTCATAGATGAAGCAGAAAGTGTTTCTAGGTCAATGGTGATGTTTTTGAACATTTGATCAAAGAAGGCTGTGATTAATAAAATATAAATATAAATAATTTTTTTTTATTGAAATGTACGTCAGCGTGAAAACAATTGCAAATTGCATAACAACATTTGAGTTTATTCTTATTATTTTGACGTGTAGAATCCATTCCTGGAGTTTGGTGCTATTCTCCCGACTTACCCTGTGGATTGTGTTAATTATGTACGTAAAAAACTTTAAGAGGCGATTCTTTGAGTGACGTAAAGCAAAAAAGGGTAATATAACTGTGTTTGGATAAATGGATAGTTTTAAAGATACAGGTTGAAATTTGAAAAAAATACTTTTTCTAAAATATATCTGAAGACGTTTGATGCAGACAGATGAAACTCAAATTAATCATTAATTTAATTGAATTAGAATGTGAACATATAATTCATTGCGGTGATACTTATTGTTAATTTTACAAACAACCCGCAAAGGTTCCATGTTACTGGATATTTTAAAAATTCAGTCACTGCTTGTAACTTAATGGTTTCAAAAAAAAATCTTTCATTTTATTTGTAAAACGGACCATTTTACTACTTTTCCTCTACTATCATACAAAAAAAAAACAGTTAGGTTAGAAATACAATTTTAAATAAAACTTAATCATGACTAGTCTTAAAAAAATCAATGATGCACAAATTGTATAATCTTAAAAAAAATTACGGTAAATACTTTCCGGAATTCAAAATTGTATATTTAAACAAAAAATCATACCAGTATCATCAGGTATAAACTTTTTTCTTGGAAACACGACAAGAAGTTACAAGTATCACTATCGCATTCATGGGATTTTTGGTGAGAGTAATTCGCAGTTTTGTCACTAATAGTTGTATTTATATCTGAATTCAGTAGATTTTTACTTTATCTGAATTCAGTAGATTTTTACTTACAGTTTTTTAGGGGATGATTTCTACACCTGCTTAGAGAACTTTAGTAATGAAAGAATTTCAAAAGCAATTTTCAAGTAAATTAAAACAAGGATGGATGGTAGTCAATGAAGTTTCAAAGAGGGTTGCACAAATATTTGCAAAATATATTTTTTTTTATATTGCAAAATTAATTTTTCTTAATTAGATTTTCAAACTTCATAATACTAACTTGAAGAAAAATGAAAATTTTGCTGTAAGTAAACAAGAAAACACCTGTTTCAGTTGATTATGATAAAAAAATATATTGCAAATATATATATACAGGGTAGGAAAGTACCGATGGTCTATCTGAAGTTACGTGAGAGCGATAAAGTAAGCCATAGAAATCCATGCGATAGAGAAGGATGGCTATAATGAAGGCTTCTCTTAGTCTCCGCCTGTTTTGCCCTTCCACAAATAAGATCCACTTCTTATTTGTGGAAGGGCGAAATGGGCGTTGACTATTAGACGCCTTCATTATAGCCATCCTTGTCTATCACATGGATTTCTATGGCTTACTTTATCGCTCTCACGTAACTTCTGATAGACCATCGGTACTTTCCTACACTGTATATATATATAACGAGCATTCAAATAAAAACGTGGTCAAGTTGGTTCTGAAAATTTGGACGTAGGGCGTAGCGTATAGCAAATGAACTTAAACGTCATCTGTCAAAGCGCTATATCGCCGCTATCAATTTGAATATTTTCGTTTTAAAAAGCGTTTAAAATGGTGTTTTCTCAAGAACAAAAAGTGTTTATCATAGAGTCCTACGTTAGAAATGGACGCAAGATTGATGGAATATGGAAGTATTCTATTGAGAAATGTTTCATAGAATTTCAAAATCAATTTCCCGGCGTTGTTGAGTACAAAATTTTTCAAAGTGCAGTTCAGCGTTGTGTTAATGTTTTTCGTGAAACGGGCAGTGTAACAAGAAAAGAAGGAAGCGGCCGACCTAAAAAGCGGACTGAAGAATTAAAAGAAAATGTCCAACAAATAATGGAAAATGCGCCAAGAACTTCTGTACGTGTTTTATCACAAATGGTGGGAGTATCAGTCGGTACCTGCCACACAGTGTTAAAAAAAGATTTGCGTTTGTTCTCCTATCGTTTAACTTGTCAGCAAGAACTTTATGAAGTTGATTTTCCTCAACGGGCTGTATTTTGTGAATGGTTTTTAAACAACTACGATGAACTTCATAATATCACCTTTTTTTCTGATGAAACCTGGTTTCATTTAAGTGGTTACGTAAACTCACAGAATATGAGAATGTGGTCTTCTGAAAAACCAAATAACTTTTTTGTCGAGGGCCCTCTACACGCTCAAAAAATTGGAGTTTGGTGTGCTCTCGATCGAAGGAGGATTTATGGACATATTTTTTTTAATGGTACTCTTACTGCGCAAAGGTATAGAGAAGAAATTATCGCTCCTTTTGTTAACCAGCTGGAAGAAAACGAAATTACAAACTTTTACTTTCAACAAGATGGCGCAAGGGCACATACAGCAGGCGAGACGATGAATATGTTGAGGGAAGTTTTCCAAAATCGACTAATAAGTCTCAATGCTGAACATGAATTTCCACCGAGGTCATGTGATATTATGCCGTGTGATTTCTTTTTGTGGCCTTACCTTAAAAACACTATTTTTGAACTGCCTATTCCTGATTTAAAACATCTGCAGGCTCGACTTATAGACAAGATTCGTGAAATTAACAATACCCCGAGCATCTTAGAAAATGTCTTTAATTCTTTGAGGAACAGGTGTGAAAAGTGCTTGGAACAAGGAGGGGGACACTTTCAGCAGCTGCTTTAATTTATTGTTATAACAAGGAGGGGGACACTTTCCGCAGCTCCTTTAATTGTTTGTTATTGTTATCACGATTATTCTTTAAAATAAAGTTATATAGTCATTAACGTTATTGAAACTGACAGCTGCTATACAGCTCGTTGAGAAATGAGGTTAAGTTGGTCGCTATAAGCTACTCCCTACGTCCAATGTGTCAGAGCCAACTTCGACCACGTTTTTATTTGAACGCTCGTTATATATATAACCCTTTTCAAGATCTCAGGGTCGGCCACTTATTTTAGCTTTTTAATTTGCACATTTTGTTTTTTGTCATAATCGCCTTGTATATTATATTTGGAAAATGTTTTTCTTTTGAGATAATCCGTCAAAAATATTCTGTAAAATTTTGAAGATAGAAAATATTTAAGAAAAAGTATTTTTTATGAAAGCTTTAACATCCAGTACCTCAATAAGTAACCCTGTATGGAGTTATGTTATACATATAAACATTTTTGCTTATTGCTATCATTTTAATATCTACACAAGGTCATAAAATAAGTTATAGGTAAATCTAAATATTTTCTGAATAACAAACAAAAGTTTGCTTGCATGACATGCATATAATTTAAAAATTTAGTTCTGTTCTATTAGAAAATACAGTATAATCTCTATAATCCGGCACTTTACTACACCGGCACGTCCAGTAATCAGGCGTTATTTTTTCCGCGTTTGTTTACTATTCTTGAAGAATACAGTTTTTACAGTTATAGTTTAGTTGAAAGATTATTTTACAGAAACATAAAAACATTACAATATACATATATATGCATACACAACTGTAATATGTATGTATCTAAATACCAATCTCTTTGTTAATAATCAATGTCAAAATTGATGCCGATATCCTGTATATTTAGAACTGTAAGAACCAGAAGCTTGTAAATATATTTTAATTGTATTGCCCTCCCTCTCTGATGTAAATATCTATACAATAATATATTTTAGGTATCATGTGGTCTTGCTCACATCAACACATTTCGAATGCCGATTTTTCAGATGAAATCGATAAAAATCTGATAACAGTAAAAAATTTTTTACCCTTATGGACCGGTATTCTGAAATTATCATCTAATAGAACTTATGATAAATATGGTTTATTTCTGGAAGATCGAAAGTATATTCTTGAAAGGATTGTCAGTCAACTTGTCAAAGCACTTATGATTCTTATTAATAAATTAAACTTATCAGTGAAATTAAAAGAAGAAAATGTCACAGTAACAGAAGTGGAAAAAGCTTATCAAGTGGAACAAACAAGTGACTATGCTATTTTCTTAAATGTTGTCGATTTGTATCAGGAAATTTTCGACAATATTGAGCCAAAGATGTTTAAGAAATGTATTTGTAAAATGATTAAACACATTCTTAATAAATGTATAAATTATCCATTGATTAGTGGATTTTACAAATTATTATCATATAGCTTAAAAATTGCAAATAAACTGGAATTGTTTAAAGAACACAATGAGAACCAAGATATTATAAATATGAAGGAGACCTTGAGAGAATTTTTGGAATTATTACTAGATAAAATGACACAGTATAAAGATGAATTGTTAATTGCCTGTTTAAAAGTTCTCCTAGAGAGTCCTGTGATTTTAATTAAAGACATGTTACCCATTTGTGTTACTCCTTTTATAACAGTATTTAACATTGGAAGAAGCTATTTCCCATTAGCAGAAATGGGTTTGAATACATTACAACATTGGCAGGACTCTCTGAATAATGAAGAATTTGATAGCTTTGTATCAAAAATTATTCCACACTTGGATAGTTACTTAAGAAGTAAATCTTTACTTGGACAATGTCAAGCAAATGTTACTGAAACTAGACGAAAAACAGCTCAAGTCTTAAAAAAGAGGAGGGTTGTTTTAGAGATGGAACCTGAGCTCATGAAACTTCAAAGGAAAATCTTAAACTTCATAGGAAGGCAAACGTCTAAAGTTTGTCATGCATTTGTTTATTCTGATGAACTTAATGAAATTGTACCATCATCGATTTATGGAGGGAATCTTCACCTTAAAGTAGCATTGCCTTATGAAGACATTAATGTGGACATTTATTTAGATGTATTTGTTCCACGTATAGTGAACTTGGCATTATATAGCAGTGATAGAAAGACAAAAATCACTGCCTGTGAATTACTTCAAGCAATAATTATGGTATTTTTAGGAAGAGGTGAGTACATAAATAAATATTAGGTTACTACTAAATAAATTTGTAAATGAAGGATTAGGCAGAATGAAGTATACATTTTAATTTTAGTCGTTCTAATTAGTGACTAAATTTTTATTCAAAAATCAAACAAATGGTTCTTGGGAAAACATGGAAATTTTATTTTTTTTAAATTACATCAATTAAATGATCCCCTCCACACTTAGTCCAGTTACTCAGGGTTTTTACCTCCGAATTCTTTATAACTGAACCAATTGACGTGAAATTTTGATTGAATGTGGAAAATACCTCAAGGAACAAAACTTATATAGTGCCGAAGTGTGCTTTTGCCCTGGGGGTGGAAATTTTTGTACCCAAAATAACCACAGGAATTGATAGAGGAGTCAATTTTAAATAACAAATGTTATATAAAGTTTTTTTGGATAATCCAATACTTTCCGAGTAATTCGTCATTGAAAATGTTGATTTTTTACTGAAAGTGCTTGTTTTCGGACAGTTTTTTGCAAATAACTCTGAAACCATTGGATTTAACGAAAAAGTTGTAATGAACAAAAAGAAAAGTAATAAAAAAACAAATCTAATGGCATTATTTTGTTTTTCTCTAATTGCAATATAAACTGAGTTATGGATTTTTAAACATTATTATATGTTTGCGAAAAACTAAATTGGAACCAGTTAACGTTAAATAACGCCAAAATCATAAATATTAGGAAAAAACTATTTGAACCTTTTTTAAAGTACTTTGAAAATCCTTTAAAATGAGCTGTTTTAAAAGTCTAGAATCAAAATTAACGGATATATGATCGAAATAACATGATAGTCTCATTTTTTTAAAGAAAAATTAATAAACAAATCAGTGCCTTTGGCGACAGAATTAAAATTAAATGTTATCCATTCACAGATTTCTTCATTTATGTTCTAAGAATATGTTCTGGGTCTTTGGCTCGCTTACAAAGCATGATTTCGATTTTTACACTGTAACTTAATAATTAAAGGGTGTACGAAAAAAATACAAGAATAAAAAAAATTTGCTTTATTTTTGCTGAAGATTTTGCTTTTATTTGTTATTTCTCTAAAATTAATATCACCTTTTTTGTTTAACATATGAATGAGAGAACCACCCTCTTCGAGCCCTTTAAACCCTTCAAACTTAAAAATGAAGGGCTTGAAAAAGATCAACTCAACAGTTCACGTAGCCCTTACAATTTCCTGCAAAATGAGCCTTTGTGCGATTAAAAATCTTAAAAAGTAAGAAAGTCATCGTCAAAAAAATAAACACGTGTATAGGTGATAATTTTAGGAAAATTTATGTCAAACAAGAATTTTAAAGCATTTAACCAATAAAAATGCGTAGTTTGCCTGCTCTGGAAGCATTGCTGAAAATGATTTTTTGCAATTGCAAAAAAGATTGCGGAGCAAATTGTGGCTGCCGGTAGCTCGGTTTATTTTGCAATTCAACATGTGGAACATGCTCCGGCAACAAAGGCCTAAATTGTCCTCTAACCATCGAAGAGGACGAGCATGATTGTGAAGAGAATAGCAGTGAAGACGAATAATCATTTACATATAATTATGTTTTTTTGTATTTATTATTATTAAAAAGGAAAATAAAAATTTATAAAATAATCTTAATTTTGTCTGTGTGCGTGTGCGTGTGCGTGTCTGTGTCTGTGTGTGTCTGTGTCTGGGGTAATTTTTAGGGGTTCAGAAGTTGCAATCAATTCAAAATTATTTTATAAGAAGGGAATAAATGTTTATTTAATATGAATGCACATTTAAAATGTTTCTACTCTTTCAATAATACTTCTTTATTTGATTTTCGTAAGAAGGGGTATTTTTCAAGGGTTGAAATGTTGCAATCTATAAAAAAGATTTTTTAATCAAGTAATCAATTTTAATTTGATAAAAATGCATGATTAAAATGTTTCAAGTTGAAATTTTTTTTTTATATTGTTTTCATCCAAAGGGGTGATTTTTAAAGGTTTTTCCGGGTTGAAAATTTGGGATACATTAAGTTTCATGTTAGATAGCACATGAAATTATTCATACTGCATAAATAAAAAAGATTTGATTATATAAAATGCTTAAATTTGTATTTTTTTTTTCAATAAGGGGTGGTTTTCGCCCCTTAAGAACAAAAAGCACACCTAGCGCATATATAAGTGAGGGGTAAGATGAGCCTAATTCTAAATTTTGAGAAAAATCGATGCAGTTATAAAAATATTGGAGGTATTACTATGTTTCCAGCTACAGTAACTGGGCTAACTGCTGGCACGCTTGAAGGTTAATACAAAAGTTTTGTATCATTATTTGAACTGGGATTGCGTTAATCTCCGTCCGAATATTATTTTTCAGTTCGTCCAAATTTTGCAGTCAATTAGAAAACACTTTTGACTTTAGGTAGCACATGTAAAGAAATCACAGGCAGAGATATCCGACGACTGTACCAGCCAGTTGAGATCCTCAAATTTCGAAATGATGTGACCACTTCTAGTTGTTATTCGACTCGCTGGGTGGTTACAATAGAATTGTTATTTTTAAAATAAATTTTAACCTCAAAACGACCAACGCTCGATATTCACAACTATCTTAACCGTCCATTTATCGCGAAAGAATGGCAACTTGATTTGATTTTGTGTCTCACTATATTATGAAACAAACTAACTTTGAAAATGGATATTTGATTTTGCCTAACCCTTTATTTGTTTGTCAATCGAGTCTTTCATTTAATTGTAAGATCGCTGTGTCAAGTAGCAAAAAATTAAAATTTTGTCAGAGAGCGCGGACGCACTCACCTGATGCCGCACGCGCTCTTTGAATTTGCCGCGCCTGTTTGTTGGAACATCAATTTAATTCTTGTATAACAATGTTGAGTGAGGAAATAGTACATTCACTCAACGATAATAGTGATAAGATCTAAATTAGCTTGCACATCGCAAGTAGCAATCGAGCAAGCCAAAAGTTGAAGGAGCATGAGGCGTATTTGTAAACAATATTGGTGCCTATATTTTTATAGATATAATTAATGTTTGTTAAGTAATTTTCAAAACTAGAAAATTATGCATGCTATGTGAAGGTATAAAACGATCGGTTTGCACCCTCTAGATCAGTGCGCCCGGATGCCTCACACCTCTCGCACCTCTGGGTAAAGACGGTCCTGTGTTTTATTCATGAAATTACAGAATGTAACACAACGTTGTGTGAAAAATGGAGCATTATCCTCACGTCAAAGTTAAGAATATTTACTTATTTAGATATTTACCTTTGAAGTATTGGTTTTGTGATATGTGATATAGTGTGTTGTATAAAAAAGTTATACGAGGATGATTTGATCATCATTTGATTGTGAAAGATCAAATTAGATTGGCGTATGAAAATTACTTAATTCAGATCCAGACAGCAATTCCTCACAATATCCAGCAGTTCTGGTCATTTGTGCATTCAAAAAATAGAAGTAGCAAAAACCCTGGGAGAATGTCTTATGATGACATTATGCTAGATCAACCACAAGATATTGTCAATGCATTTAGTAATTTCTTTAAAAGTGTTTTTACTATCTCTGATGATAGTTTTTGTCCCCAGGAAAGTAATTTCAATATTAACAATATCCATTTTGGGTTAATAACAGAGGTGGAGATTCTTGATTCTGCTAATAAGCTTAAAAATAAATTCACTTCTGGTCCTGATAGGATACCTTCATTCATTGTGAAAGATTGTATATGTGTATTTGTTATTTCACTCCTTATTTAATCTGGCAGTGAAATGTATTGAGTTCCCTAAACTATGGAAAATAGCTAGAGTATGCCCTATTCTCAAAAACGGTGATAATAGCCTTATATTATAGACCAATTTCTATTCTTTCGAATTTTGCAAAATTGTTTGAAATTATTTTATATAATCACATTTATCTATCTGTACATAATCAATTGTCTCAATCTCAGCATGACTTCTTAAATAATAGATCAACCATAACGAATTTAACTATATTTGCCCAATTTGCATTTGAAGTTCTTGATAATCAAGGACAGGTGGATGCAGTTTACACTGACTTTGCCAAAGCTTTCGATAGGATTAGTCACACTGTATTATTGAATAAACTAGGTAATTTTGGTTTTGTTGTTCTAGCTCAAAGGTTTATTTCATCTTATTTAAAGCAAAGGGAACAATATGTTGAGTATAATGGCTTTAAATCCCCGGCATATTTAACAACGTCAGGCGTGCCTCAAGGATCTAACCTTGGCCCTTTGCTTTTTTTGCTGATGATTTGAAGATTTATAGAGAAATTAATAGTGTTGAGGATTGTATAGAGATACAAAATGACATTAACAAGTTATTGATATGGTGTAGTGAAAATCAATTGTATCTGAATTCTTCTAAGTGTAAAATTGTTTCATATAGCAGAAAGAAATGTATTCTTTATTATGATTACAAATTAGAGATCATTGTTTTGAATGGTGCCGACTCTTATAAGGATCTTGGCATTCTGTTTGAGCATGAAATATCATTCAACCAACATATTTCCTTGAAACTCGGTGAAGCAATGAAAATGTATGGATTTATAGTTAGAAATTGTGGAACGTTTACAAACATTGATGCTTTGAAAATACTATACTATTCTTATGTGCGTTCGAAACTTGAGTATAGTTGTGTGATTTGGTATCTATTCTATAGATGTTACAAAGTTGATATTGAATCGATCCAAAGGAAATTTTTGAAATATCTAGTATATAAAATTGATGGTGTATATCCTGAAAGAGGTGTAGCTTATAGCCTGTTAAAAAATAGGTTCAATTTAATTAGTCTAAATTTAAGGCACAAATGTGCTACACTTTCTATTTTATACAAACTCTTACATAGCCAAATAGATTGCTGCAATCTATTGAGTCAATTAAATTTTGCTGTGCCTAGGTCATCGATTAGACATACTGTGACTTTTTATTGTTGTGCACCGAAGACAAACTTGCTATTTAAATCGCCCATTTTTGTGATGTGTAATAATTACAATAGACTTAGTCACCTCTGTGATATTAATGCATGTACACTGAGGGAACTTATACATGTAGCTGTTCGGAATTTGAATGATGATATTTTACCTTAATTTATAACCCATATGTGTATTCATAATTGGTTTAAATTATGACTTGGATTATATATTTTCTCTCTTTTTTAGACATTTTGCTTTGATAAGTTTAACTCCGTTTATTTTTTATTTTTTATTTATTTTTACGTCTGTATTTGGCCTGTAAATGGTGTCTGTCGGGCAATAAAGCAATTATTATTATTATTATTATTATTAAACAAGTATGTCGAGGTGGACATGAAAGGGCACCAATCGGCTCAGGTACGGACAGAGAATGTTGGTAGGGATAGGACGAATGGGGGATTGCAGTCGACATGGCCCTAAGACCATTAGCCAAGTAGTGGCAAAGATGAGCGAGAAGGAAGTACATCCATCTGTTGCGCAACGGATTATCACAAAATTTGACACGGGAGGGGGCTCGCCCTTCTGAAATTTTGCGGAGATTGCGACAGCAGTTCGTTGAAAACACTTTTTCACAACCCCATGTGTTTTTTTAGCACAAAGCCTTCTCTGAAGGACGAGAGAGAATTGAAAAAGAATCCCACGTATGGCGGGCCCAGAACCAGCTTAACTGATGGACACATTCAAGCAGTTCGTGACATCCTGGAGAACGACAGTCGCAGAAATCACATGTGAAATGAAGATCAGTGTCGGGAGTATCTATACCATCATCCGTGATGAGTTTGGTTTGTCAAAAATGTCGGCTCATTGGGTGCCACGCCTTCTCTCGGGGGAACAGAAGAATGTTCGTCTTGACATCTGCCAACAGCATTTGCAACGGTACTGTACTGAAGGGGATGCATTTCTCGACAGTATAGTGACCTGCGATGAGTCTTGGGTCCACCATTATACTCCCAAAAGTAAGCAAGCCAGCATGGAATGACGAAAAAAAGGAGAGGCCGCTCCAGTTAAGGCCAAATTGCGCTTGTTAACGGGTAAAGTTCTCGCTACAGTTTTTTTCTATATGAGCAGAGAACAGTTAATGCTGGTTACTACTGTAGACTTCTTGAGCAGGTTAGGGCCGCTTATCGAAGCAAAAGACGCCGCCAACCCATGAGGAACTTCATTTTGCTCCACGATAATGCTGGACCCCATACAGCAAACCAAACACGCCAGAAATTAGAAGAAATGTTCTGGAAAACTCTCGAGCACCCACCCTATAGTCCGGACTTGTCCCCATGTGATTATCACATGTTTGGGACATTGAAAGAGGCTTTGAGAGGACAGCGTTTTGCTGGTGACGCAGAGGCATTCGTGCGATTGGCTAACAACCCGCCATCCTACTTTCTACAGTGACGGAATCAAAAAGCTTCCAATCAGGTGGGAAAAATGTGTTTCAAGGGAAGGTTATTATGTAGAAAAATGAGAAATTTTTTGTGAACTTCATAATTTTATCAATAATAAAAAAAAATAATTCTCGTTTATATTTAAATAACCTTTGTATATAAATTTTTTCTGAAGGTGAAAAAAATTAAGTTTTAATTCAATCATATAGTGCAAATATTAACTGGTTACATACATATTTTTCAAAAATTACACCATCAAAAGAGATTTTTTTTGGAATTTTTGAAATTACAATTTTAAAGGTAAAGGTAAATTTTTTTAATTCGTGCATAATTTTTTTAATTACTCAAATTCTTTCTTGACGTCATTAGAAATTTGTTTTCAAACAAGCTACAAGGAAGACTGGAAGACTTTTTTATTTTAAAATGGAAGTTATTGTTTATGTGACTGTAGAGCTGGAGCTTATAGAGGTACCAAATTAATGTTCATTATTTTCATAATTTCCTCGTTATATTTAATTAAGGTTGATACAGTCTGTTCAGCAAGAAAGTATGAGCGCTTATCTCAAATAATGAACAACTATATGAAAATTTTTTCTTAAAATAAATTGCAGACTGCATTCGCTAATGCATAATTATTATTTGATCCAAGCTCCTTCAGTATTAATTATTGCTTGGCACTGTTCTGGCATACTTTCGGCCGAAGTTTCTGCATGTTTCTGCGGTAAAAAATGTCATATTTGTTTAATTTTTGAACTCTGCTTAATAGTGAATACACACTTTCCCTTAAGCTTCATCTTATCATTTCACCATACATTTTAAATGGGATTTGTATCTGGAGACGTTGCCAGCCAATCCATAATTGTCCTCCTGAGCTCACTATAGTCTTTTTTCACGTGCTTTTCTGAAAGCAGTGGTTTTTTAATGACGTACCGATATACCATTTTATTTTGACGCAATCGATTTCTGATCGTACTAATTGAGATGTATAGACCTTTTCCACGGATTCTCACTTGTGCTTGACGAAGTGTTAGGCTTGAAATTGTTTGAAAATGTTGCAAGATCATTTTATCCTCTGACAGACATCACATGAAACAGTCCTCTGTCTGACAGGTGATCAACGTTGTCAGTGGTTTTAAACCTATTTACCCACTTCCTTACAAATGTCTCTGACTTTTTACTAACTCGAGCAGTTGTCACGTTCGTCAATTTTGGTCCTTTGGTTTTATTCACAAGAAACACTGTCTCGTAGCGGTTTGGGTATTTTGCACTCATGTTGAAAAAATGAGGGTTATTTGTAATTGTAATATCCACACAACAGAAGGTTTTAGTGTACACTGCACACTAGCCAATGCTTTAAAGATTTGGGCAGTATGTCATAGATGCGCTAGTATGAAATTTCACAAAATTATAACCCATACTTTTTTATTGAATAGACTGTACATAATCTTGTAGCATTGTAGGTCCTTGATCATCCAAATTTAAATCTAGTAGCATGCTGGTAGCTACTTCTTAATTCGAGAAAGACTAGTATTTGGGACACATTCCTCTATCTTGGTACACTTAAAACAGAAAGAGTTTTTACTTCATAGAAAAGTTTATTATTTGACATCAACAATTGCTTAACTTGTCTACAGAGAAAATTATAATAAAGTAAAACTATGGAATCTACTGATGATTGCCTTTTCTGTCACCAGTTTCTAGTTCAAATGTTGTATTTTAACCTTGATTTTTCAGTTATCGATAAATAAAATGTTTGGTTTCTTTACTTACATGTCGCATGTTCAAAATTGTACTTCTAGAAATATATCCATTCTTAAGGTTATATGAAAACAAATTATGATACCTCCTGAATCGTAAGATTTACTCGCGGACTTAAGAACAAAACAATTATATTTATAATACTTTAGTTGAATTCTTAAAAAAAAACAAAAAAAAATTAATAGGAATACACTTTTCTAATAAAAAAATATTGCTTAATTAACAAAGCAAAAATGAAATGTGGGATTATTGAATATTTACATTTTTAAAGGAGGTAATATATTTTTAATCACGTACACGCACGCACGCACGCACGCACGCACGCACGCATTGGAAATCTACTAATTAAACAATATATCGGTGTGTTAGTAAGAATATGTAAAGTGTCAGTCTATTTATAAAATAGATATTTTTTTATTAATTTTTGACTCATTATTTAATACATTTAGAAAATAAGTACCTATTTATTAAATGTAATGACCGTATGCATTCTACAATGTGATAAGTGCATCTGTTATTGTGACTTTAGTCAACTACTGTCATGGACCAAATGCTTTGTTAAAATTTGTGTCTTCGTGACTTAACATGTATTTATTTTTTTTTATAAATATGTACTGTTTCATTTGAAAGTATTTTCATTAAGATTTACATAATTTTACATAACAAAATATTTATCTAGACCTTGCTCTCTTTCAGCTAAGACCATGAGTGGTACTGGCCTGTCCGAATTAGAAGATTTATTAAAGGTAGTATCAATGCCTTTACTTCAATTGGGTTGTGATATCGATCAACTAGTACAACAAATATTTTCGCCTTTAGTTTTTCAGTTAATGCGTTGGTACGCATCTCCATCTCAGCTAAGGGGAAGTCATACTGCTATTGTAATTGATTGCTTGATGGTAAGTAAAATAGTAATTTTTTTTAATTTGTTTCACAAATTCAGGGCTATGTTGCAATATTGTCACTCAGTAAATTCATACTACAATAAAGAGCGATGTCAACTGCGATTTATCCTATAATTCTTCATTTCTAAGACCATAAGAATACAAGAACAGAGATAATAATTGGTTACCGGAGTAAATGTTTGAAAACTGACACAAACGTCCAGTGCTTCTTTTGTTTTAAAAATATTTGTGATATATTTTGTAATTTATTTGAATAAAGTAAAAATTTGAGAGCTAGTAATAAAATGTATATATTTTTTAAAAAGATATTTCTAAACTTTTACATATGCCCAATTCGTAAATGATTACATGCCACGTGAATAGTAATTTTATTTCCTTCACATTGGCAATTAAATTTTGTTAAAATAAAAAATTATTATATTAAACATTAAAACACAGCATTCTGTTTCAGCGGCTGGTGATTGATGTAATTTTTCATGAGATTTTATTTAACCAATTTGCAGTATCTCGAGCATAGACGTAGTGGTTTGTCATTACTCATTGTAAACGATTCGTTAATATTAGCTAAGGCATTAAGATCTAGGGGTTTTTAGTTGACAGGATCAGCCGGTTGCTAAGTTCGGTGATCACGTGGTATGAAGGCTCTGTATTTCAGCACTGATCAAGGTCAAGCTGGAGAAATAATCTTTGCTTCATTTATTTGTTAATAAAAGTGTATTAATTGCCCATATATTTCTAATATCATCCAGGTTATAATTACCAAAATACTATAACGACCAACGAGGGCAGTTGTTGGTTTTCGTAATAAAGACTTATATTTCTGATGAAAGTTCTTCAATTTAGAGTATTGTGCTATTTGCCAAAGTAAAAATGTATATGGTCTGCAATATTAAAATGACTGAATTTATTACTCATTTATATTAAAGTCAGTATCCATAGTGCAGTGAGTAATTGGTTGCATGTTCGATGCAATAATATTTGAATGCAGCCCTGGTCTTTACATGTATCTAACAGGTGGGGCAAAAGTCCCGCTACCATTTTGATTGCCTATAACTTTGTTGAAAGAAAAGATAAGTAAGTTTGGTTTTCATAAAAAGTTTATTTGGTCTTTACATTTTTTTTTCGTTATGATTGGAAAATTATATCGGCTAAATGGTGACCGCGATTCGCTATGCAACTTTCGGCTCTTTTTAAGGCATTTTTCATGACATCCTGCAACATCTCAGGCTGAATTTCTTCAATTTCGTGACGAATATTGTCTTTAAGATGTTGAATCGTTTGGGGCTTATTCACATAAACCTTTGATTTTAAAAAACCCCATAAGAAAAAGTCTGGTGCTGTTAAATCCGGAGATCTGGCTGGCCATGCTAAATTGCCATTTCGCGAAATTAGTCCGTGGAAAAACGTCATTCAATAATTGAATTGTTGAACGGGCTGTGTGTGCTGTGGCCCCATCTTGCTGAAACCACATGTCCTCTAGTCCTTGCTCTTCCATTTCAGGCACAAGAAAATTTTGAATCATGTCTTGGTACCGTTCAGCAGTAACAGTAACTCCAACACTTTGGTCATTTTCAAAAAAATAGGGACCAATGATGTTTCCAGCATGAATACCACACCATACAGTTGTTTTTAGTGGATGCAATGATGTTTCATAAATTAATTGAGGATTCTGTGTTCCCCAAAACCGACTGTTCTGTTTATTGACGTGGCCACTGAGAAGAAAATGGGCTTCATCGCTCATTATCAATTTAGACGAAAAATCTTCAATTTCACCAGACAGCCATAGGATTGCATTACTGTACTCAACTCGTTGATCAGAATCTCTCGGTAGCAATTTATGGACTAATTGAATTTTGTACGGGAACATTTTCAAATCAGTTTTCAAAATTCGCCTTAAACTGCGTGCAGAAATGTGTAACTGGGAACCACGTCTCCGAATTGATGTTTCTGGAGACCCTGCAACACTATCGCGCACCAGAGCCACATTTTCAGCGTTACGAGACGTCCGTTGTCTTCCAGAACGAGGTCTGTCTGCTGTCGTACCGTACTGTCGAAAATTCGCATGTAAACGATAAATTGTGGTTTTGTGAGGCACTGGACGATTAGGATATTTTTGACGCAATTTCCGCTGAGTGGCAATAATGGAACGATTATTTTCAATAAATATTGTCACTATTTCTGCTCGTTCTTGTGGCGTATATTTATCCATTATAAAATTTGGACGTCTACACAACACAATGGTTAAAGCTAAACTGAGCTAAACGTCACATAACCAAGATGGCGCGCAATCAAAATGGTAGCGGGACTTTTGCCCCACCCGTTATAA